CCGACCGGTAGTGGTTGATTAATCGGCTATCGGTCGGTAAACGTCGATAAAACAGTTGATTAATAGGCTATCGGTCGGTATGCGTTGGCCGGTAAAACAGTCGATTAATAGGCTATCGGTCGGTAAAGTGTTAACATGTTTGAGCATGACTTTTACACTCGCGAAACTTCATATCCATTACACCAAGTTTTTATACTTTTATTTCCTTATGCAACCATTTGATAAATTAGCTTATTTCTGTTTATTACAAAGCTTCTGAAGAATCTATTTTGCAGATATTATTTATTAATCAGTGTTGAGAAGACCAGTTTAAAATGGTACCTTAACACTTTACCGACCGGTAGCGGTTGATTAATCGGCTATCGGTCGGTAAACGTCGATAAAACAGTTGATTAATAGGCTATCGGTCGGTAAACGTTGGCCGGTAAAGCAGTCGATTAATAGGCTATCGGTCGGTAAAGTGTTAACATGTTTGAGCATGACTTTTACACTCGCGAAACTTCATATCCATTATACCAAGTCTTTGTACTTTTATTTTCTTATTCAACCATTTGATAAATTGGCTTATTTCTGGTTCTTACAAAGCTTCTGAAGAATCTATTTTCCAGATATTATTTATTAATTAGTGTTGAGAAGACCAGTTTAAAATGGTACCTTAACACTTTACCGACCGGTAGCGGTTGATTAATCGGTTATCGGTCGGTAAACGTCGACCGATAAAACAGTTGATTAATAGGCTATCAGTCGGTAAACGTTGGCCGGTAAAACAGTCGATTAATAGGCTATCGGTCGGTAAAGTGTTAAGCTTTAATAATTTCTAACTTCGTTAGTTTTTCAAACTTCAATTTAATATTTGGTAGATACATTTTCGAGACTACATACTAAAAGAAAACGCAAAAAAAAATTCGATTTTTTAAATCCCACAAGGTAGAAGCTTTAATAATTTCTGGACATTTCATACAAACAGAAAGGAGAATAGTACTTGTACAATGACCAAATGATAATAAAATTTGTTTATATGAAAAATGTCTTCGTTGAGGCAGGAAAAGGGCCAATTACGTTAACAGAAAATACCGTTGGCTGCAATGGGAACCGATGAAAGATAATTGAAGCATAAGTTCGAACGATACGAGAATTTCCATTTATATCGAAAAGTTTTCGTGTCAGCAATCAGTTTGGAAATCGACCGCGAAATACGTACGCGAAGCAATATCTCCGCGTAACTCGAGCGTCAAAGTTTTTGATTGCCAAAGTCTGTGAATAACCTTAGCTAGGGATGCTTTGGAATATCGAGCTGCGGTTAAATATAACGAAACCAACGATAAGCTTTGAGTAATTACGGAAACAATGCAATACAACATTGTTTGGGCAAAGATTAGAAGTAGTGCTCGTGTCTCTGCTATGCACGTAATTAGAGCAGCTACAGTGTTTTGTGGTATTTGCATAACACGTTAAGGAGGAACAGGAAAGTGGACGGAAGTGGCGAAAACATTACGCTATAATTTCACGAAGAATTTTTCCCTAAATTGGAAAATTCATATTAAAAGCATTAGCATACTGTCGTTTCAGTGTTCCTTTTGAATAAATTTTCCAGTGTATATTAATTTAAAATATGTTCTTTCCCAAACACGTGGAAAAAACTTAAAATATTTTAATAAAAAACATTGCAATAAAATTACGATAACATTTTATGTTATGAAAAATTTTCGAAAAAGTTCAAAAACTTAACATTTTAATAAAGAAGATTAGAATAAAATTGCAATAATATTTTATATTATGAAAAATTTTCGAAAAAATTCGAAAACTTGTTAACATTTTAATACAGAAGATTACAATAAAATTACAATAACATTTTATATTATGAAAAATTTTCGAAAAAGTGGATCTACTTGTTAACATTTTAATAAAAAACATTACAATAAAATTGCAATAACATTTTGTTATGAAAAATTTTCGAAAAAGTTCGAAAACTTGTTAACATTTTAATAAAGAAGATTACAATAAAATTTTATGTTATGAAAAATTATCGAAAAAGTTCGAAAACTTGTTAACATTTTAATAAAAAACATTGCAATAAAATTACAATAACATTCGATGTTATGAAAAATTTTCGAAAAAGTTGAAAAACTTGTTAATACCCCACTCACTCACCAGGCATACCACCCAATAAAAAATAACCCCACAATTTACGCTTAGAATGTAAACAAATTGAATGAAATATATTTTAATCCCTGAATTCAGTCATAGCAAAATATAATTAACTGTATTAGTTGAAAAAATGTCGGAAATGAAATTCAAATGGAACACAATTATTGAGAAACAAAGACATCTTCGAATACTATTACAAACAAAAATTAAACGCAAAATAAAAATTAATTCCCGCGTAAAGACAATAGTTTTGTTACGTTTATAATTTTTAAATGAAAGCAAATTTCCAAGTCACAGAGCATTCGTCTAAAAGGGTATAGACGGATAAGATGGTCAAAAGTGCCCTTGAGCCAAACTGATCAGTGAACATATCAGTTAATAGACCATTCAAAGAAAACCATTTGTGCCAAATATCAACCCCGTACCCTTACTGAGAGGGTAGTTACAGGGCGTAACGCAATTTTCAGTTTAAGCTGTATATCTTTTGTTGCTTTGTATCAAAGATTTTGAAAAAAATTGGGGGTATTTTGCTCTACGGCGTACGTGTTTGTGAATTTTTTCAGAATTTTTCACCGCAAAATGGATTTTTAAAAAATTCGAAAAGTATAAAAATATTTTTTTTTAATAGAAATTATTAAATGACCACGTTTATATTTTTACAGTGTTAGTGTCTTGTTATGGTTATTAATCTATAATTTTTTCAGATTTTTAGAAATTGGGTAGCGATGTTGGAAAAATCAAAAACCGACATTTGCTTGTATTTTTACCTTAATTTTTGTTGTGACCATGTTCGTATTGTTACAATTTTAATAGCTTGTTACTGTTATAAATATATAATTTTTTGAGATTTTTTGTGGAGGTGTATCACATACAAAATAATTATAAATCGACATTTCCTAAGTTTTCGTTCGCAGAGGAGTAATATATTCGGGTAATTGATATTTTTACTTCATCGAATGATCATTATATGCATGCTCAAAATAGTTTTACATGTATCAAATAATATAAAGCTTAAAACCTTAGGAATGTCGAAAAAGACATCAATGAATGACATTAATGAATACTTAATATTTTATGAGTCATATTCTGAGAAATTCTAATGAGAAATTCTAATAAAACAATAGCTGCAATTCTCTTAATACATACATGTAAAACTATTTTGAGCATGTATATAATGATCATTCGATGAAGTAAAAATATCAATTACCCGAATATATTACAAATGTCGGTTTTTGATTTTTCCAACATCGCTCCCCCATTTCTAAAAATCTGAAAAAATTATAGATTGATAACCATAACAAGACACTAACACTGTAAAAATATAAACGTGGTTATTTAATAATTTCTATTAAAAAAAAATATTTTTATACTTTTCGAATTTTTTAAAAATCCATTATGCGGCGAAAAATTCTGAAAAAATTCACAAACACGTACGCCGTAGAGCAAAATACCCCCAATTTTTTTCAAAATCTTTGATACAATGCAACAAAAGATATACAGCTTAAACTGAAAATTGCGTTACGCCCTGTAACTACCCTCTCAGTAAGGGTACGGGGTTGATATTTGGCACAAATGGTTTTCTTTGAATGGTCTATTAACTGATATGTTCACTGATCAGTTTGGCTCAAGGGCACATTTGACCATCTTATCCGGCTATACCCTTTACTTTATCGAATTCGAAATCATAGTTTTGCTTGGTATGTAATTACAAAGTAATAGTGACGTTTAATTGTTCGTTGATTTATCTTTGCTCTACTCTCAGAAATCCTAAAAGAAATTCATTAATTGAATTACTGCTTCGGTAAAGGAGAGGAAGGCTTTGTTTCGGTAAGAAATTACGCTCCGTAGCCAGCAGATGTTTTACAGCTCTGTGCCCTGTATTTTCACTGTCTAAGGGGTTTACAGGCTCAATTCTTCGACGCTCCTTAGTCGTACTTCCTGTTCTTTAATGTCACAGCGTGGAAACCTTTATCGAGGAAATAGACTGCATCTGGTCGAACGGGTTTCCCGTAATACGATTCTCTTCTTATTTCGATGAAAATAAACAACGATTCTGCCCTGCTATTTACCAATTTATCCTTTAATCTTCCAATTGTTCATTTATTTATTAATAGAGCCAGATTACACAAAGATCATTGCATTTAACGAGAACGAATTCAAGCTCGAATATTTTCACCCACACGAAAAATGTTTATATCACAATGTGCCCCCCTCTCAATCGTGCAAATTTCGTATATAAAATTTTTTAATATTATTACAAATTAGTCTTTTATAACAGAAAATCGAATGCTATTTCCCTCTGTGATTATAGAAATAAATAATCAAATCAAATAAAGATGATTCGAGTTATCTTTAACGCCTAAATTTTCTCCGAATAAATATTTTCGTCCATTGATATTAGTTATTCCATATTTATCAAATATAGATGAAGTTATTTTTATTCAACGAATAGTAAACACGTATCTTTAGTTCGATGCTTGAGAGTTTAATTCAGATTTTGCCCATTTTCCAAAGAATCCCAATTATTGCCCACTTCTCGACCAGAGCCACCCCCTTAAATAGCAAATTAGTCGCGTCGTATGTATCCAATCGATAAATTCGTTGAAAATGACAATTTAACGGCACGTGCCCGATACGCAGGGATCTGTAAAGATTTAGGGGTTTCCGAAGCGTCTGGTTTTAATTCAGCGATGGGAAGCTTTTTGAGTTATAGCTCGCTGGAGATTGCTCGGTGTCGCTTTATGGCCTGGCGGTAAATTCCGTGTTTTAAGAGCGGCAATTGTTTAATTCTCAATTGAACGAATGGCTGGTGTTCCAAGGGACACGTACTAATGCGTACAAATTGCTTGCAGGCTTTCTTAAAACCGGGACGAAGGGGAGCGCGCTAGGAAATTACGGCTTGATGGATCTGGTGGCGGGCCTCCATTGGCTACACGAGAATCTCGGCGCTTTTGGCGGCGACCCCGCTCGACTGACTCTCTTTGGCCACGGAACTGGAGCCGCGCTCGCCAATTTTTTAGCCGTCTCGCCCATGACAAAAGGTAATGTTAGTTCGCACGGTGTTCGCAAACACAATTATTTACCATCCAAAAAGCTGATAACGTCGTTGCGCAACTCTATTCTCTCGCTTTTAATAGTCAAAACTTTCGTACCTAAAATATTAGGACTAATTTTTTCTCACCAAATAGCCTCGTATGTACTGTGAGTCCATTAGAAGAAGGCACAGGGTGTTTACATCCCCCACTCTTGCTGCAGTCTGCTGATTGGCTGTCACAGATCTTCGTCACCAATTCCTGTTGTGGGGATGTAAACACGTTGTGCCTTCTTCTCGTGGACACATGGTACTGTGAGTCTACGAGAAGTTGGCTAGCGTGACGCCACCAGGGGGCAGAGGAGTGGATCGTTTGCTCCGCCCATCCCCACTTTCGTCGTTTCAGCCAATAGCGAGAAACTCCAAGCTAGAATGGGGAACCAATCAGACACGCATTCCTTTCGCTAGCCAGCTTCTCGTCCATGCACACTACAGCCACTTTTATTAGCAAACAATTTTAGGCATAGAAAGCAACACTTTCTTGAATATCTCGGCGAAAGTATGCCTAAACGGTGCGCGGGCTATAATCGACAATGATGGCGACTGGACAACATACTAAGTAAATGCTTATGTTTCGAGGTCACACGTTCAACTATAAACAATTCCTTTTTTCGTAGAAAATATGACTGACACGCTCTCGTGGAACAGTGTGTAAATAAAATTCAACCGTGTTTTGCGTATCGCGTCGAAGGTGTCAGGACACAGGGAACAGTCGAGGGGGATATTCTTCGAGGACGACGATGCCATCACCGTGTCTGTTGTCGACGGCCACTAGAGACCGTAACAAGCTTCCTCGAGTGTAGCCTTCTTCTCTAACCCCGCGAGAACACGGGGAACAGGGGCGACTAGAACGCAAGGGGGAAAAAGACTCGCACCTTGTACCGCGTTTCTAAATTGCACCGCCATTCCGCTAACGAACCCACCTCGTGTCGTCCTTAATGCCCTTCCACAATACGTTTTAGCCTCTCACGGCTTTCGGTTGGACTCGCTACCCTAATGGCAACCCTCTCAGCGAGTATTCTCCTCGCTAGGTGACGAGTCGAAAATTCTTCCGCCACTTGCGAAAACTATCGTGAAAAACTACTATTTCTCATGGATTCTCATGCATGTGGGAATTTGCGATTCTATCTCCGCGGGAAGCTACTAATATTGCTCAACGAACGATGTTGGGGAGCAATTTTTTAATTGCGTTGGACCTTCGATAATTTAGGAGAGTTTCGTTTACAATTAATTATGATAAAAGTAAAGGGTTTTTGTTAGGAATTTTTTGTAGGTTAGAACATCGATCGTTCGAAATAATAGGGACTCCTGCACCTGTTAGGGTTTATTTATTCTCTAGTTTTAAGTCGATACGAGTGTATGGGTGGCTAGTGGACTCATCAGTAAGACTTTTTAGCAGGCCCTGCCTTAGACGACTGGGATATTGGGAAGTTTTTTTTTTTATCTCGTTTTCCTGTTTCCTCTATATTATGATTTTCCTTGGGTTAGGGCTCGAGGGAAAACTGTCAAAAACCTCGTTTACATGCATCATGTGATGAGTGTGGTGCTATGGACGGTTAGTTGATGATCAGTCTGGGAGTTTGTATTCGGATCTTTAATGGTATATCTTCGGGGTCGTAATTCCCTAGTGACGCTACTAGGGGGTTTGGATGCTGGGTGTTGGTAGCTTGGATATTAGAAAGTCGTTCGAGGAATGTATATATAACAACCGAGGAGTCGCGAGAGCGCTTGTGAGAGCGCGAGCCCTCTGGCGGCGAGCGTGGGAGGCAACGCCACAAGTGTAAGTATTTACGAGGTTGCAATTGGAAAGCGAATTCAGACAAAATAATAATTACAATTATGAAAATCTTGCTCGATCCAAGTTTAATTTATGCTCGTATACAAAGACTAGGAACACCAAAATTACAATAAAATGTCAGGAAATAAAATAATTTTTAGGGATGTGCTAATAATTCTTGGATTTAGTTAAGTCTTCCATTTCTTTTAAAATGTATATTTGAAAGGCATTTTTTTTATTTTTGAAGTTTCGTTCATTCGAATCCAGCTTCTGCATTATCTAGCCTAATTGGTGGTCGGTTTTCTTACAGTCTTTTCAGAATGATTATTAGCCTGATCGTTTGTCAGTTAGTTATTTTGTCTGTCAGATAGTTAGCTTGTCAGTTAGTTAGTGAGTTTGCTGTTTCTAAGTTAGTTAGTTTGCTGTTAGTTAGATAGTTTGTTAGATAGTTAGTTAGTTAGTCAGTTATTTAGTTAGTTATTTAGTTAGGCCCTTTCTCTCGAATCTTCATAATTCTGATTCACTATTTTTAATTTCAGTAACCATAAACTTTCCAGCATATTTCAATGCATTTATATTAAAAACATTTTCCAATTACAACACCAATATTTTCCTCATATTATTCATAACGTACACAAAACATAACTTTAATTACGTGTTTATGTTTAATATTTCTGAGAGAAATATAAATTTCGAAGTGTAAGTAGCATTCTACTATATTTCATATTGGTATTACTATTCTTAATCAACCCAGGATTAAATTAATCAACCTCTGATTAAATTTAAATTAAATGAGTCGAAACATTTAACAAACAATTGTAAACCTATCTCCGGATTTGCTGCATTTATTAAATTGTATTCAACAAATATAAGAAGCATTATTTTCATACTTTGAAATCAGTTTACAAAGTATGAATTTTTCATAAAAAAAATAAACTAAAAATAAATTCTTTCTATCCTCCTCCAATAAATAGAGAATCAATTGAAATCTTATTCATTGCATACTTAAATCACGCTATTAACATACATCATAAACGATTTAATTTATAATTCTTAAATCTTCAATTAAAATAGTATTGAAATGATGTATTTGGAAGTATTGTGACGTATTCATTATTTCTAGTTTCATATGATGGAAGTTTGTCACACATCCCGGTAGCGTGCGCCTGCGAGTATGCGCAGAGGGGTGTGCGCGAGTGAGAACGCGCGCATGCGTGTTGCGTCGCTTTCCACCGAGATTGTTCTGTAGTCGTCGTGCGTTGTTGCGTGCACCAACATGTATCACTTCTGTATTGTTCATTATTATTAAACCGTTAACAGTCCAGTCTTTTTAATATATTTAACTGCACGAGATCGCATATCTTTCGCGTCTCGTGCGTCTGTGGACGACTCATATAGCTCTGCAGGTTTGTGCAGCATACACAAATAACTGACATGTATATATTTTTAGCCCCAGTAACGAAAGTTTAAAGGGTGAAACTACTCTCCGAAGTTTCACCCCTCCGATGCTATGTTTAAAACCGTTCGAGATACGAGCAAATTCTCGAAATAAATGTTGCACGACTTTTGACCGGAAATAACGCGATACACACACCAGTGAAACAATTTATTCCTTTAAAATTAGAAATTGATAATACACGACGTAAAAGTAATTTTATGATTTTCTTATCAATTTTTCGCCCATGTTTTAAACTGTTTCGAGAGAATGCGAAATTTCAATTGTTTTGCACTTTTTCTGTACAGTTTTACTCGTGCACTTAACATTGCATAGGTGCATTTTATAAGGCTTTTGTACACGTTTCACAGCATTCACATTTACACCCTCGTAGTTCGTACTTGAAGTTTTATGACGTTTTCGCTTGCATTTCCGGAACTGCTTCATTTTCGAATACAATTCTTTTCCTTGTACACACTTGGACTTTTCACTATTTAACGGCGCTTTTTAATATTATAAATCGATCGAATTCTTCATTCTCACGGTCAGATGATGGTTATAACATGGTGGATATGATAAATTATATTTTTTACAAATTGTAGGATTCTCGAATGCGCATTTTCCACACACATGCTTTTCACACTCGAAGCAGAATGTAATTAATTTCATTGTCCCTACAATATTTTATTCGACAAGCTTTTAGTCTATTTTCTTTGTCATTTCTTCAGGAATTTGATATAAATATCTCTTTTGTCCTTTATGTGAAATAAATCATACTAATATCAGCAAAGATTATCTCATAAATAGACTGCGGATGTTTATGCATTTAGGGGAAATTTGAATTCTCAAAAAGCTACAGAACGCATTTAATATTCAAAAATATAAGCGATACTTAAAGTAAGATACGAATTATTATATTTAGGGGTTGAGACAGAACTCTATAAAGCTTTGATTTCATTAATTCTATTAATAAAAATTTGAATTTACATAAAGATCCAAAATCTACTCATGAATGTAAATTTAATACAAACCTTGTGGGTTTCACGACTACCAGGCTTGAATCCCTCAGATTTCTTTTATGGGGATAGTTAAAAACAACAATTTATTCATTGTCCATAAATAATGTAGAAGAATTACGAGAGTGAATCATCGATAATTTACTGTAATAACCAAGATTTGTATTAAACTTGCATCTATGAAATAATTTTTGCAGTTGTGAAATACAATAATAATTTTGTGTTGATAACCTTAAAACATTCTTCTAAATCAATTCCTTTCTTTACATTTAATTTTGGTAATAGAAATCCATGTTTCGCTGAAAATATTAACTTTGAGATCTATGTATATGTATTGATTTAATCCTCTCTATGAGTACCATAACTCTTAAACATTCTTCTAAATCAATTCCTTTATTTACATTTAATTTTGGTAATAGAAATCCATGTTCCGCTGAAAATATTAACTTTAAGATCTATGTATATTGATTTAATCCTCTCGATGAGTACCATAACTCTTTCAATGCTTAAACCTTTATTTTAATATGCTGTATATTAAGGAATAATCAGAATTGATGATAAAATGCTATCAACGGGTGTAAATGGACTTGTGTATTTGTCAAATTTCTAGACGTTTGGTTTCTTTTGTATTACAAAGCTATTCGAGAGGGTAGTTGTCTTTAAAGTCTTGAATTCTTCTTTCAAAATACTGTATATTAACGAATGATCAGAATTAATGATAAAGTGGTATCAACGGTTGTAAATGGATATTTTCTGTGTATTGTGTATTTGTCAAATTTCTAGACGCTTGGTTTCTATTGTATTACAGAGTTAATCGAGAGGGTAGTTATCTCTAAAGTCTTGAACCTTTCTTAATCCTTTGCACTCCGAATAATATTCCAATTTTGTTACCAGCGGCTCCCAATGCTTTTAAGAGTTTTATTTGAAATTTGCCTGTTAAAATAAGTGTTTTATTTACACTGTTGTTGTTTTTTTTTGTAATTTTCAAGTGTATGATATCTGTTTGGTTTGGACTTGACAAAATGTCGATTGGGACTTGACGAAGGAGCTTCTGAGATAAAAATTGATGTCGAATTACAGTCGACATAGGAGTGCAAAGGGTTAATATGCTGTATATTAACGAATAATCAAAATTAATGATAAAGCGCTATCAACTGTTGTAAATGGACTGTGTATTTGTTAAATTTCTAGACGTTTGGGGTTTCTTTTGTATTGCAGACCTGGTCAAGAGGGTAGCTATCTTTAAAGCCTTGAATCCTTCTTTCAACATACTTTATATTAAGGGGGGAACCTCATGTAAATGGCCCGTTTTTCAAGAATTTTTTTTGAAAAATCCAATGCACAGATTCATTTAAAATTTGGAGTATCATTTATTAACGTTATAATGTAAAGAAAAATATTTTTTATAAATTTTAATTGTTAATAACAATGGTGCAATGGTGGCTTGAAAATGGCATCCTGTAACTTCGCAGTGCAGCGTACAATGCAGAAAAATGATCTGAAACAAAAAAATCAAAATAGAATAGTTAGTTTATGCAAAAACGCTCAGCATGACATTCTTCTTTTGTTAAAATTTTCAAAATTCCAAAAATGGCGAAGGTTTGATAAAATAACCGGATTTTTGATTATGAACAATCGTTAATAACAAGGTTTTAAGTAAAAAATAAAAAAATCGGAGCTCGTCATGCTGAGGCCAATTATTTATAGAATATATATGCCAAGTTTCATAAAGATCGAGTAATTAGTTTTTGAGCAACATTGCACGGCGTGCGAAATTTTGCGTTTCGAGAAAAACGCGTTTAAAGTTTGAGTAGCAGAGAAATCGTGGAAAAATCGTAATTCATTTTAACTTACCGCGGTTTTTTGTTAATCCGCGATTCCAGGGCCATACAACGGATCTTCCTCCTCCTAAAAAAATTGTATTTCAGCCGTTTTTTCTTCTTTTCGAGAAGCACGAGCCTCTTTTGCGCAATGAAGATCGCGACGCTCCTGCTGTTTAATACGGCGTTTGTCCTCATTTTCGGCGAATCTTTTGCTCTGCCGTCCAATTATTATGGCAAGCTGTTGCATTGTTTGAAGGACGAGCGAAAATCCTTCGTTAAATATGTCGACAGCAAAAAAAGCAGCCATCTCAACAATTTCAAAGCCACAATTGAGATGTGTTAGGAGCTAAACGCCAATAGGAGTGCAAAGGGTTAATATGCTGTATATTAACGAATGATCAAAGTTAATGATAATTATTCCTGAGGAAATTTCCTACCAATTTAAGCAAAAAAAAGAAAATGCTCAAAAATTTCATTTTACATGAGGGTCCCCCCTTAACGAATGACCAGAATTAATGATAAAACGCTATCAACGGGTGTAGATGGACTGTGTATTTGTCAAATTTAAAGATGTTTGGTTTCTTTTGTATTTGCTGACCTAGTCAAGAGGGTAGTTGTCTTTAAAGCCTTGAATCCTTCTTTCAACATACTTTATATTAAGGGGGGAACCTCATGTAAATGGCCTGTTTTTCAAGAATTTTTTTTGAAACATCCAATGCACAGATTCATTTAAAATTTGGTGTATCATTTATTAACGTTATAATGTAAAGAAAAATATTTTTTATAAATTTTAATTGTTAATAACAATGGTGTAATGGTGGCTTGAAAATGGCATCCTGTAAATTCGCCGTGCAGTGTACAATGCAGAAAAATGATCTGAAACAAAAAAATCAAAATAGAATAGTTAGTTTATGCAAAAACGCTCAGCATGACATTCTTCTTTTGTTAAAATTTTCAAAATTCCAAAAATGGCGAAGGTTTGATAAAATAACCGGATTTTTGATTATGAACAATCGTTAATAACAAGGTTTTAAGTAAAAAATAAAAAAATCGGAGCTCGTCATGCTGAGGCCAATTATTTATAGAATATATATGCCAAGTTTCATAAAGATCGAGTAATTAGTTTTTGAGCAACATTGCACGGCTTGCGAAATGTTGCGTTTCGAGAAAAACGCGTTTAAAGTTTGAGTAGCAGAGAAATCGTGGAAAAATCGTAATTCATTTTAATTTACCGCGGTTTTTTGTTAATCCGCGATTCCAGGGCCATACAACGGATCTTCCTCCTCCTAAAAAAATTATGATTCATCCGTTTCTTCTTCTTTTCGAGAAGCACGAGCCTCTTTTGCGCAATGAAGATCGCGACGCTCCTGCTGTTTAATACGGCGTTTGTCCTCATTTTCGGCGAATCTTTTGCTCTGCCGTCCAATTATTATGGCAAGCTGTTGCATTGTTTGAAGGACGAGCGAAAATCCTTCGTTAAATATGTCGACAGCAAAAAAAGCAGCCATCTCAACAATTTCAAAGCCACAATTGAGATGTGTTAGGAGCTAAACGCCAATAGGAGTGCAAAGGGTTAATATGCTGTATATTAACGAATGATCAAAGTTAATGATAATTATTCCTGAGGAAATTTCCTACCAATTTAAGCAAAAAAAAGAAAATGCTCAAAAATTTCATTTTACATGAGGTTCCCCCCTTAACGAATGACCAGAATTAATGATAAAACGCTATCAACGGGTGTAGATGGACTGTGTATTTGTCAAATTTAAAGATGTTTGGTTTCTTTTGTATTTGCAGACCTGGTGAAGAGGGTAGTTTTACTGGGTGGCTCGGCCTTGTCACCCTGGGCCGTCCAACGAGATCCGTTGATGGTGAAGCGTCGCGTCGCTGAGCAGACCGGATGTCCTGGCGACGCCGATGCAGATGATATCGCACCGTGCCTTCGTTTGAGGAGTCTGGAACAACTTCTCGCGGTGGAGTTGGATATACCCAGATTCACTTCTGGGTTTGCACCCTTCATGGATGGGGCGGTCATGCCTCAGCCGGTCAATCAGGTATCAAAACTCTCTCGATCCTTCTCTTCTTTCACATAAACATACTAGCAACAAACAAACAAATAATAAACCAAATACCAGTACGTAAGATATTCATAGCGAACTGTACAAGTGCATTTCTATAAATTTTAAGAAATTTAAATGATGCATTTCTAATAGAAATTGATAAATTATTATAGATAATCATTTTGCATGTTCAAGATCGAGATTATTCACATTATATATATATTATACTTATGTTTATATGTACGATAACATGATGATTCATTTGGAAGGAATTATATAATTTCTTTCGAGTTTGCATTTCAAACAAAACAGTTCACTTAGGATTAAAATTAAAAAAAATACCTAACTAAATTATTGTGTTTGGAGTTTTGTTAACCGCGTCTTTTATCATTTTTTGTTCCTTATAACGCGTAGAATCATGCTGTGAATGAATTTTTGATTCTTGATGGAATTACAAAATTCGTTCATTTTAACCTTCGAAGGGTTGACTTGGTCCATTTTGATCCAAATTTGAATTGCATTATTCCAAATTCCAGTACAAGATCTTTACTCGAATTATTTATAAATTCTTGGTCCATTTTGATCCAAATTTGAATTGTATTATTCCGTATTCTTTAATCGAATTATTTATAAATTCTTCATTTATCGTTATCGTTAATTTTAAAATGTAAGAAGTGTATATGAGTTTGGACTGCGTTTGGAAGCGTTATGGTTGGCGTCGAAAACCACTCTGCATCAAACTCTGATCGAAAGTAGTCACTTAAATAGTTATAGTAATATTAAATAATATTACTTATATTCAACTTAAAAGTGTGTAAATATTTTAATCTGAACACACACACCAGTTAACACAAAAAGATCCCTTATCTATCACGAGACAGAAGTAAACAGTTTTGCACGGGTCAAAAGGGACCCGAGACGAGGGTTAAACGTGTCGTCGTCTCATTTCCTACGATCCTTCGAGATCAAACGTGGAAAAACTTCCCCAGTACCGATAAAATATTTTCGGGTACGTTGTTATCGATTACCGCGACGCGTGGCCATGTGAGCGCGGGAATGGTTGGAAGTTTCGATTTTGTCGGCTGGTAAGCGATGAGTTTGCTAATTGACCCGACAACCGAGTGACAGACGTCGAACAGTAGGATCCCGATGGCTGTGCCTCGAAGCCGGTATTAAGTTCCGGAGCTATGGCCCCGGTAGTTGCCGTTAATCACACTTCGCTCGTCGATGCGTCTTTTTCTGAAAACCGATCGGGAGTATCGGCGAGCAGAATTGCTTGTCGGGGAACTTTTAATTAAAAGCCATTAAGTATACGGTACAATTGCAATTACTGCAAGTTTCGCGATCGAACCCCCTCGCTCCCGGAATCGATAGTTGCTCCCAACTTCTTCTCGCGTTTACTTAATTGCGCGACGAACGGTAGGCATCGATTCCGTCGCCTTTTACCCCCGACCCCTCGTTTAAATTGCGACCTTTTGTTCTGTTCCGGCGAAGAATTTTCAGCCCACTGCCGCCTCTTCGGGACTGATGCCCCTCATGCCTGGCCCGGGCACCGAGTTCGCCGGATTTGGAGATCGCGATCTGCTGCTTGGTTTGACGTCTGAGGAAGCCTGGGTCACTCTCACCGACGACGATGTACAGGTAACGTGTTAAACCAACTATCATTCACCTTGTTAACTCCTTAGTTGGTTTATAGTTATAGAGCAAATCAACTCTAGTCGATTTACAAACACAACAATTTATTTGAAACAATACCAAATATTTACTATTTTGATCTAGTAACAGTCCAAGTTTAACCCTTTGCACTCCTATGTGGAGCGTGACTCGACATCAGTTTTTATCTCAGTGTACTTATGTACGTATGTATACTTTTTGCTGGTCATAACGCGTACGTTCCTCGAGAAAGGGATACTATACTCAGAAACTTTGCCATTTCTTACCCATCTAATGAAACTATCACTTCGTTCACTCAGAAGGAATTTATGAAATATTGTCAGGGATTCTTAAGGAAAGAGAGCAAATTCAAAGTCCAAGTTCTTAACACTTTGACTGCCACGTGACCCATATATGGGTCACAGAACTTTTAACAGTAGAACTAAAACAATGAATTCTCAAGTTGAAATGTTAAAGAAAATCAATTCTAATAGGTTTCGTAAACTTTAATGAGGTTAGAAAAGTAACTATTACACCAAACACGATCGTTTAGATAGAAAGCCTTGTTTTATTTTCGTGCATCTCGAAGGAACACACAAGGATTGTGCATAAAACAGAAAATTACCTGGACGAAGAGGAGAAACTAATTTTGTTCATCAAACGTGCGAAAAAAGACCACAAAACACAATAATAGCGTAAATAAAACAGATATTTAATTGAATTTGTTTGTTCCCCTATTCGTTTAAATTGCCCTTTCTTTTGGTTAACGTAAATTTCAAATGAGATGCTTAAAAACTTCGGGAGCTGCTTGGAACAAAATTGAGATATAATTGGGAGTGCAAAGGGTTAAGAAGTACAGTTCTATTCGCGTCCAGTGCGAGAGCAAATTCAAGGTCCAAGTTCTTAATATCCAAGTAATTCGAGAATCTAACCAATTAACGAGTCAAACGAACTATCATTCACCTTGTTAACTCCGTAGTTGGTTTATAGTTATAGAGCAAATCAACTCTAGTCGATTTACAAACACAACCATTTATTTGAAACAATAACAATGCCAAATATTTACTATTTTGATCACTTGTACGGTGATCTAGTAACAGTCCTCAAATTTTAATGAGGTTAGAAAAGTAACTATTGCACCAAACTTTTAAGTTGTGCAGTTTACAATTGCCTAAAATCAGAGTTATGGTCTCGTAAACAATTTTAGGATTTTAGACTGGCAGTCAACGTGTTAATATCCAAGTGATTCGAGAATCTAACCAATTCTAACGAATGCTCGAATACTTCGAGAAAAGAGTGTTGCGTCGCGAAACATGTCGCGAAACATCCATTTATAACGGCAATTCAGCGTTTATATCGACGCTACAAGCCATTAGCTAAGTGGTTTTAGTGTCAATGTAAACTAAATCACATAATAACCGCCATAAAGGACCTGCTCCAGCGACCTCGAGACCTGGTCCACCCTCGCGAACACGAAATGCAAGAAGTACCAGCGCACCAATCCTGAACGAAAAGGGTTCTGATTAGATGCGGCTGGCTTCTTACATTAGGATATAAGGCGAGAGATTTAGCATACAAAACTACAAAACGTCGAAACATCACACACCGCCGTACGAGCGAGAGAGGGTCCACGTCCAACAGAAATACAGTCCACTACAACATACCAACGCCTTGCATATTAACAGACGTGCAAGAAGAGCTCTCGACGTGCAACACATTGCAAGAGCTCTCAACAAAGAGCTAATCCTATCGAGAATGCAAGCAATTCTGATTTTTGTCCAAAGTCCGGTCCTAGAGGAAGCCTCCGATTCTCCCTCTTAGCGCCTTCTTGGAGGCGTCCGATGTTCGGATTGGGCCCTGTCCTGTCCAATCCGAATTTGGACAATTTTTGGGTGGTGCAACGCCCACAGCCTGATTCGTTTCATCCTGCGTATCAAGGTTTGCAGGAGGTTGCACGATCCCTGGGTTAATTTATTACCCATTCTTGTTCTTACGGTCGTAGTGACTGTCCTGATCCTGGTGGTCAACGCGTGAGGGTTTGCGTTACATCAATTGCCGTCGAGGGTGGTCTAACCGGGGACTGTTTCCAGAGAAATCTGAAACCAGCATCCGGCCAGACCTGGTCCTTTAGAAATTACATGTGGTCCGTGAAAAATTGCGACTTCCTCAAACACAGCACTGTTCATTGTAGCCGTCTACAAATGAAACATTGCTACAATGAAATTGTTAAGGATTCTTAAGGAACCTTCACATCGCGGGGTTTATGATACGGACTTGACTTCTCCGCTATTTTTGAGAATCAGGCCTTCGAGATATTTTACTTGGCAAATTACGTTACGGTCATTAAGGAAACTCCAAACTCCACACGGGACTTGGAATCCTTGGAGCTCTTCCTTGCCTCAATAGAGATTGACTCGTTGCCATTTCTTACACATCTAATGAAACTACCTTTTTTCCACACTCAAGGAATTGTTGGATGACCAACCTTCTTATCAATGTATATTCTGGCTCATCGCCCTTGCTCATTTTGTCAACAAGGGTAGAGTTCACCTAGGTTCGTCATACCATGCTCCTTTTTCTTTTCTTTAGTTTTAGTAAGATTTAGAAAGTATGCAAGAAGCAGCATTACATTCTTGACTGTCTGACTAAAAGTTTTTACATAGAACTGACAATTTTGTGACCATTGCAAAAAGCTAACGCCATTTGATTTTTTTTTATGAAAATACTAGGAAGATAAAGTTCAACTAACGTTCGAAACATGTAACATTGTATTTGTTTAGAAATATTGAAGATTACAGAAAGAAACGTAAGAAAAGTGTTTCCAGTTTTATTTGTACACATTTGTTAATCAGTTTAAGAATGTACGGACGATATAATCGTGACCTGTTACGGATGATATAATGACCGTGCTCTGAAGTACGCAATTATTGTGATAGATATATGTTCGTCGAAGTAACGTACGACACAAGTGTCATCCATATTTTCATTAATTAGGTGAGCAAGTAAGAATTGTGTCATCCTACGGTACATCGATCATTTAGTCGATGTTAAGGATCTTGTTGAAATCGAAGTTGACCTTATTAAGGGTCACCAAGAAACACTATTTTTTATGTACTTACAAAACTGAATCCTTGTTTTTAATATAATTATTGATAAAAGTGCTTCAAAATTTAAAAATAGAAAATTTGTACAGTCTGTTTTCGTTTAAAATCAAAAGTTCCAGGTTTCTCGAAGAAATTCGAAACCAGCAAAATGGTAGCTTTAACCCTTCTCTCCTGAATGTTACATGGACTACATTATATTTGAATTCCAACAAAATCCTTGACATGGAGCGCGAGAAGTGATCGATTTGAAGCGAAATGACCCAATCTTAACTAGGATCTTAACTAGAAAATTTGTACAGTCTGGTTTCGTTTAAAATTAAAAGTTCCAGGTTTCTTGAAGAAATTCGAAACCAGCAAAATGGTAGCTTTAACCCTTCTCCCCTGAACGTTACATGGACTACATTATATTTGAATTCCAACAAAATCCTTGACATGGAGCGCGAGAAGTGATCGATTTGAAGCGAAATGACCCAATCTTAACTAGGATCTTAACTAGAAAATTTGTACAGTCTGGTTTCGTTTTAAATTAAAAGTTCCAGGTTTCTTGAAGAAATTCGAAACCAGCAAAATGGTAGCTTTAACCCTTCTCCCCTGAACGTTACATGGACTACATTATATTTGAATTCCAACAAAATCCTTGACATGGAGCGCAAGAAGTGATCGATTAGAAGCGAAATGACCCAATCTTAACTAGGATCTTAACTAGAAAATTTGTACAGTCTGGTTTCGTTTAAAATTAAAAGTTCCAGGTTTCTCGAAGAAATTCGAAACCAGCAAAATGGTAGCTTTAACCCTTCTCCTCTGAATGTTACATGGACTACATTATATTTGAATTCCAACAAAATCCTTGACATGGAGCGCAAGAAGTGATCGATTAGAAGCGAAATGACCCAATCTTAACTAGGATCTTAACTAGAAAATTTGTACAGTCTGGTTTCGTTTAAAATTAAAAGTTCCAGGTTTCTTGAAGAAATTCGAAACCAGCAAAATGGTAGCTTTAACCCTTCTCCCCTGAACGTTACATGGACTACATTATATTTGAATTCCAACAAAATCCTTGACATGGAGCGCAAGAAGTGATCGATTAGAAGCGAAATGACCCAATCTTAACTAGGATCTTAACTAGAAAATTTGTACAGTCTGGTTTCGTTTTAAATTAAAAGTTCCAGGTTTCTTGAAGAAATTCGAAACCAGCAAAATGGTAGCTTTAACCCTTCTCCCCTGAACGTTACATGGACTACATTATATTTGAATTCCAACAAAATCCTTGACATGGAGCGCAAGAAGTGATCGATTAGAAGCGAAATGACCCAATCTTAACTAGGATCTTAACTAGAAAATTTGTACAGTCTGGTTTCGTTTTAAATTAAAAGTTCCAGATTTCTCGAAGAAATTCGAAACCAGCAAAATGGTAGCTTTAACCCTTCTCTCCTGAATGTTACATGGACTACATTATATTTGAATTCCAACAAAATCCTTGACATGGAGCGCAAGAAGTGATCGATTTGAAGCGAAATGACCCAATCTTAACTAGGATCTTAACTAGAAAATTTGTACAGTCTGGTTTCGTTTTAAATTAAAAGTTCCAGGTTTCTTGAAGAAATTCGAAACCAGCAAAATGGTAGCTTTAACCCTTCTCCCCTGAACGTTACATGGACTACATTATATTTGAATTCCAACAAAATCCTTGACATGGAGCGCAAGAAGTGATCGATTAGAAGCGAAATGACCCAATCTTAACTAGGATCTTAACTAGAAAATTTGTACAGTCTGGTTTCGTTTAAAATTAAAAGTTCCAGGTTTCTTGAAGAAATTCGAAACCAGCAAAATGGTAGCTTTAACCCTTCTCCTCTGAATGTTACATGGACTACATTATATTTGAAT